CACTGATAAACTGCTAATCATGATAACCATTTTAACTCATGAAGTAAAGATACCTATTTTGAGCTACAATGCCTTCACTGGAGATTATAGTTCATCCTTCCTGAACAAGACTACAATACTGACTTTCTTTTCCCTCCCACTTTTAGGAACTGAAGGACTAAAATTTTAATACAATCAATCAGAATTCAATCTCAGTGAGGGATTACTGTCTTTTTTCTTGTAGTAGATGCACTTGAAAGACAAAGTTGGTCACTACAGATAATTCCCATCAAGGCTTAGGTTCTATACTACTGAAGTGTCCAAGGTTGCTAAGGTATTTTATGTGCAATAAAATAAAGCTTAATATACATTTGAGCATAATTACAGAACTTCTCATGAACACTTCTATAACACAAACTATGAAAACTCACCTAATGTTCCCATAAACTATCCAAAGAATTATTACCAAAATTTGAAGACTATGTGAACCTACAAACCAACTATTGCAACTAGTTTTACCTTTATACTTTATTCAGAAAATTGAGACATGGCCAAGAAAACATCTCTACCAACACTTCGGAGGTCCACATCTCTTTTGAAGTAGGATCTTTTCCTCAATGAATTAAGAATTTTGAACTATGACCTACTTCATGACAACTTACCCATTTCTGCTACTGCTAAAAACACTCTCAATGTAATGTAAAAAAAATGTTTTTCACCATACAATACAGAAATCCAATAATATAGCCTTCCCTTCATATTTTTAATGCAAGGCTTCATGTTTATTCATTACTGTGAATGAATTATGAAAGAGTAGCTGGTAAATTCTGGTTTTTTGTTTTTTTTTTTTAAATCAGAGATCCTGCTTAGATTTCCAAACCAGGCAGACCATGAGCATCACCTAAGAAGCATTTTAACAAGTTTAACAAGTTTTCCAGGATGGGGGCTCTAAAAAGATGTTTCCCAAGATTTTGCCAAGTGATTCCACTATGAGCGAAGTTTTAGGAGTCACTGTTCTTTAGCAAGTGCTGTTAAAATTAAGAATTGTTTGCTGATGCTTGTTTACATAGTGCCTAATGCTTTAAGCTGTCGTTTTCTAATTAACCTAATGTTTCACAGAAAGTGGAAAATCTTAAAAACTATTTTCTATTCAAGTATTCCACTGTGGATCTTAAAAATAAATCACTTAGCACACACTGACTTTTTTCCATGAAATGTCAACTGAGAAAATGTTTGATAGCAAGAAAAAATGCACGGGGGGGAGTTCAAATAATCCTCCCTTTATGAGACATGTATGAAATAACAGCTGTATTATCAGTTATGATGTTACAATTAAAACAAAAATACCCCCTCTTGTAGTGAAACGTTTTTGCTTACTGGAAATAAAATCAATTAAATTCATTAATCTCTTCACACTGGAAAGAAAAAATAATAAAAACCACTAGAATACCGGAAAAGAAAACGAAAAAATATAAAATCTGTCAAGGTTTCTATTTGAAGGTTTCCGATTAGTACCTTTTACTTTTCCTGAAAAAGCTAAAGTGGCTTCTAAAAGAGGAAAAACATTTATTTGCAGGTTTCCAATTACTGCCTTTTACTTTTTCTCAAAAAGCTGAAGTGGCTTCTAAAAAAGAGAAAAAACATTCTCAGAAACGTGCAAAGTAATACACACTGCACCTAACGTGTAGACAACAGAAAAGGCGGACAGAACTCCCGGCGGACAGAACTCCCGGGAACAAAACCGGTCGGAAAAGCTGCCGACCATCGGAAAGCCCCAAGCCGAGTTCCTGAGTTCCCGGCCTTCAGCCTTCTCCCCTCCCACGCCCTATCTTCAGCGACCGCCGCCCTACCCCGTGGCGGGCGGCCCACTAAGTCAAAGGAAGGAGGAAGCACCCGAGCGGCGCACGCGGCCGGACGTCACTGCGCTCACCCCTCCCCACGGCGAGCCGCCTGACGTCACACGGGCGGGACTGCCCAAGAGCCGCTGCCGTTGACCCTGCTGTTACCAAGCCCGCGCACTGCCAATCAGCGCCCGGCGCCAGCGCCGGCCGGCCTTTGAACCCCACACGGCAACTTCCTGCTGTTTGGCGAGTACACAGTGCAATGCAGTATGTCTGTCAGCGCTGCGGCACAAAGGAACAGCCATTTTGTGACTGAGTTGGACCTGCACCAAGATGCCAGGGGCTCACAGAGCTGCTGCCTGGGCTAACTACCGAGTTGTCTTTTATTTCAACACCAGAGAGCCAAAGAAGGGGTGAGAAAGTAAAAAAAAAAAAAAAAAGAGGTTCTTGATATTTCAGGTTTTCACTCCTTTTCAGTCTTCCCCAAAATCCCGGTTTTTAAGATTTAAGAGTCATAAAATGGCTGCCACTTAAAACTGCCTGTTCCAGTCCAAAAGCAACTGCATATGCCATTTCTAATCATCCCCAGCATTTCAGAATAACTGCTAAATGGCTAATAAAAAGCAGAAGATTTTGCCCACACCTAAGGTTATCAAAATAAACTGGCTCAAAGGCAGAAGACTTGGGGGTAGATTTAATAAACTGTTTCATTTCTTAGGGTAAATTGCAAATGTATCGTCTTAGAACACACAGCAGTCTTGTGTGCACAGTTCCACCAACATTCCTCTATTACCAATTTAGATAGATGTAGAAGTGTATACCACAGACATTACGTATCTCCCTTTAAAATATTTACAGATGCCAATTATTTTTAAAATATTTTTGAAAGTGAACTTTTAATCTTCAAAGTGTAACCTTAGAATTTATTGGCAAAAAAGTACAGAAATACTAACTTATATAATCACTATTAAATAGTGCACTATTCCCAAAAACACGAAAATAACCGGATTTACATAAACTTACACGCAATCCTTTCAGATCCTAAAGTAATTCTCAGACCAAAGTTTATTTGACCTGCAAACTCCTTTAGTCTCCTGTGGCTCAGGCTGCAACCATAATTTCTGTAGTATTCCCTAAGCACTATACTTTGTGCCACGGAAACTAGGTCCTTGTGGAGTAGCTCTGATAGGGAACCAAGCAGTAGTTACCAATACTGTCCCCTAACCTCACCTCACTAGAAATCTATTATATTAAAATACCACCAACATCCTTAAGCTTTACAATTTTGAAAAGAAATTATGTCGTAATTATGTATGTGTAGTTAAAGAATGCAATTTAAGGTAATAGTAATTTAAAAGTAACTCCATCTTCTCTTGACGGAGTCTCAAATGTTTTTGTACATTCATCAGGTATATGATTCAAAGTATAACTGACAGAACTTATTTAAAAGTACAGTTCATGCTTCTTGTTCAGCTGTTATCCCGATGCCAGAAGGCAAATGCATGACATCTTCCACATATTTTTCCAGGTGACAGTAGAAGTATTTAAAGAAGAAAAAAAAAAAAGACTAAGGCAGATTGACTTTTAGAATTAGAAAGCATAGTCTGATCAGTGATGTTAACCACAAACCTTGCATAAGAAAGCCAAAACCCATGTGAGACTATGCAAATCATATACTCAAGGGAGTAAGAGTTTTAGTTACTGAACCTTTAATAATGTGTCTAATATACCCATGGTTTCCTAGTTCTTCAAATAATCTTTACTTTGCAAAGAAATCAGTTTAGGATTAGTAGATAAGTTTTCTGACCTAAATATAACCTTAGAAATTAGATGAGCTCAGTTCAAAACATAGCAGTCCAAACTGTGACAAGTCAATTTGCAAAAGAATTTGGGAATGTATTTTTAAAAGGATGAAAATGTCTTGAAATATAATAAAGCATAAATACAGTTTGACATCTGTAATAAGCAAACCATGTCCAAAACTTTCAAATTCACTAGCCTAATAGTAAAAGTCTATTACCTAGAGAAAATTATAAATTAAAAGCAAAACTGCTAAGAAAATTCACATAACCAATCACATCCTCATTAACTGCATGATTTAAAATTTATAACACTACAGTTCGTAAGTACGTACATCAAGAAATACATTCGTGTATTTTTTTTTAATTATTATACAGGAACAAACAACATCTTAGTGGCTTTATTATTTAGTCACTAACAAGGTACTCCAACAAATGTGAAATCATCATTTGAACAAACATTACATTTATAAGCTTCATAAAATAAAGCATTCCAGACGACTCTGTTGAAAAAGATCAATAAAATTTTAAAGCACCTACAACTAATACATAAGGATAAAATACATCCCAACCAGCAAGCACTGCCAGAATACAAGCATACAAATGCAAACCTTAAAGCATCTTAAATGTAAAAATATACAATTGTAAGCATAATCACAGTAACCAAACACGAAACATAAGTCTATTAACAGTATTCCAGGGATTTCTGTGATCACAGGTTTGATTTCATAAATAGAGAAACTGTAACCATCAAGGAAAGGTTTTGATAAAATCATACCAAAATATTTTAAAATGGTAAGTGTATCCAAAGAAATACAGAGTCAAATAAAAATATAAACTGAGAGGCATCAGTTAAAGGGTTCTTTTCGCAATTTCATTTTAAAATGTACATTTTTTCATTCATATAACTTTCTCAAATGTCTATTTACTATAATTTACTACTACAAGGCTCCTCTATGGCCTTCACTTACAAGTTTGGGTATTCTGATTCTTCAAAGAAAAAATCTGCCTTGTATGTAAAATGGTGCAATGCAGCAATGGCTAAACCGACAAGGTCATTTTTCTGCAGCACAAAAAACCTAAAAACTGAAATTTATTGACAGAAAAACTGTAGTTTACAGGAAAGGCCCCTTTGAATAAAGGTACCTTACCTTTTGACTGCTGTAAGAGGCCTTAAGTCACAACTCAACTTTCATAAATTGCTACCAAAAAATTAGGGTGTGGCATATTAGCAATCTCAAGGTCACGCTTTAAAAAAGGAATCCAAATTAGTAAAATACTTAAAATAAAACAGACAGCAATCCATGTCTGTCAAGGTAAACAATGTAAGCTGAGGTCTCCCCCAAAAAAATAAAAAAGAAAGAAAGTTGATAGCTCATACCTCGATACATTGCTGTGTAGCGAACTGTCCTCCTCTTGGCTTTTGTCCTTATTTCTCATCATCTTTTAATTCTTAAATATTAAGGGGGAGGGGGAATCTGTTTGCTTTGAAGTCCTGTGCCCAGGTATTTACTGTCAAAAGTTGAAAGAAAGGTAAGGTCCCGGCTTCTATCGATGGTTTTTATTATCAGGAACAAAGTCCTGACGATGTAACGATATTGTTATAACACAACAACGGCAAACACCAAAAATCAAAATATTTCTATTTTTTCTTTAAAAAAAAAAGAAAAGCATAAACCGAGCAGGGGAAGCATCACTATCAATAAAGAAAGTTTCTCAAAGTAACACACTGGATACAAATAACAATCTCTGTATCTTATTGCGTCATCCAGGAATTTCTCATATTTACAGAAAACAAAGCAAACTTAAACATAAAAATCTTTAAAATTATCACTAATGATCATGAACTTACCTGATCCATGTAGTAGGTCCAATGCGAGAGTCCTATCTAGTAGAAAAATATCTGATCCCAAATAATTAAAAATAAAGGCAAAATCCTCGATAAAAAACGAAAAATAAATAAAATAGTAGTCAAATATGTTAACAGGTCAAAAAAAAACCACGCAAAAATTAATACTAAAACGGGTCCGGAAGAAAAAAAACCTCATTAGGAGAGCGCACAAAAATGGAGGTGCGCCATGGCTTCTAAGCTGGAAAAAACAACGACCTGGGCTCTCAGTACGGCTGCTTCTTTCCAACAAGGCACGAAAAGAAAGCTCCTAAAAGCTGCTTTTCTCCCTAAAAAAGGTCAGAATCGACCCCAGTAAGTCACTAGGAGAGGCAGGGGGCTGCGGGGGCCCCCTGAGGCTGCCGTAAAGTTAGGGAAAGTTGCGTAAAGTGAGGCGAAGGCAGCGAGCAGAGCGCGCTCTCTCTAAGGCACAGCCGCCATCTAGAGCCTCCTTCCCAGCTCTGAGAGCTCTGCCTTTGATTGACACTCTCTACATTTACCCCACAACTCAGGTGATGTACCATAGACCCACCCCTTCATCTCCACCAAAAAAAAAAAAGATACTCCATCCCAGGGAGCCTAAGGACCCCCACCCCCACACCTCCTTGCCCCTCCAGACCACCCCATCAGGGGGAGGGGGAGGGCTTCTTAACCCCCTCTGGCTTAAACACCCTTTCTAAGCCAGAGAGAAATGTAATTTGTTCCTTTTGTTTAAAGATCTGCTAAATATTTCAGTCCTTGAGCTAAAATAACTTCCTTTCTGGACAGGAAGTGGTGTTTTATCAAGCCATTTTGAAAAAGGGATAATTCTTAGAGAACCTAAAGCTTAGCTTAAGTACTAATCTTTTTAAAAATTACCCCCCCATGGGTAAAATGGTTTCTAAATAAAAGCAAAACCTCAATTTCATAAATTAAATTGAAGGCTTGCAGTCTTTATGATGTATAAAAACCAAATAAAGACAAAATTTAGGAAGGAATTTTCCATCCCAACTGGAAGAAAGGGGTAACTTTTACAACTCAAGAGCGCCTCCCTAGTGTTCAGATGTATTAGAGCAAAAATTAATGCAATCAGTTTTTATTCCAAGAATCTCACCATTTTTCTTTCTCTTTCCACAAAATTATTTAACCCATTATATAACCTTGGAAACTTGATCAAGAAAATTCTCATAACCACAATATATTTACTTTCCACACTGATTTAGGCAAAACCAAGTTCTTCAAATTCAAGAATAGGGACCTACCATGGTCACCTTTAAATCACAAACCGAAGAAACTCAACCCCAAAACCAACACACACATCCCAAACTTTCCCTCAAATCTCAGATTTCAACTCGAAGTATACATCCATTTCAACAATGGTAAATAGCTCATATCAGGTGGCAAGTTATCAAATAAATATCACGAAGCAAATTCTACTTAAAACCATGAAATCTATGGAAACAAAATTATTACTTATACCAAAAGCAAGTATTCAATACCCTTTCTTTCAACAAATACTCCAAACAAGTAAACACACACACCCCCAAAAAATCCAATCCATCTTTCTTACTCAACATACAATCTGCCATAGTATGGTCCTTCCCTCACCGAAGAACTCCATTTTAGATTAAACCCAACAAAAGCAACCAGGTTGAACCGAGGTAAATATAAAATCCATAATCAAACCTCCAACTCAATTCTGTACGCTCTAAAGATAACTTTTGTTCCAAAATCAAAATCCAAAATTCCACTTTTGAATGTATACAAAGACCAAACCGTTCAACTTAGTCATTGAGAACAAATACTGCACATGTATTGATCATGGATATGTATGCTATGGTATTTGACATTAATCACAAACACAGTATGATTAAATATTTCTGACAAAAAAATATAGGTTTAATTATATACCTTGGTCTCTGTATAATACAAAAATATAATCAACCTTTCATTTGGTCTATCCAAATAAAGGCTACCATCTTTACAATAGTTATTGAAACTGATAAAAGATGAGCAATAAACTAAACCTGGTATTCATCTGGCATTTGAAATTAAAACAAATTATCTGTCGTATGATGTCATTCATTTAATCTGAATTCCAACTGTACAGGGTAAGAAACATATAAGAAAATAATTCTATTTCGTATTTACTTAAAATATATTTATAAACATTACCACCAATATTTTAAGCCCTTTTATGAATATCCTAAGGACTCTTGCCTATAAATGCAACACATTTTCTCCTAATATTAAGACAACAGAAGGCATCAGTTTAAATATTGAAATCAACATATTCCATTGCAATGCATTTATTTATAAAATTAAAAAGCATTGGTAACAGGTACCTTTTCTATCAACACAAAATAATTCAGAGAGAAATACTGTTATCACTCATCCTGAATTGTGGGGCAAAAGGTATTTTGAATTAAAAGTTCATTAAAATCTCATGACACACTGAAGATTGTATTATTACCCACTGGTTAAGTTGTTTTTGCCAAGGTGTTTCAAGAAAACACAAATGAAATAGCATTTCAGCCAAATGACTATCTCAAAGCACAAATAAATTTTCATGACTCTGTGGACACAGACAAAACATTTTCCAGTACACCACTTCCATTTTACCAGCTTTATTCAGTACACTTTACTGCTAGGCAACTGTAAAGGTCAAAGCGTTATTAAGGCCCTAAGTGAACACTGAATGAAATGGATTTAAAAAAAAAAAAAAAAACAGCCCAAACTGAGAAAGTTTAAAGTGTTAGAAATTTTATTAAAGGTTAACAAGCCATAAGGTCATACTCATACAAAAATTGCAAAAACTTCCAGGCATACAAACTATTAACTATGTTAATGTGCCATCTTTCTTCTCCAAATGTCAAAAACGTCCTTCTTTTAAACAATACAAAAAGTCTTTAGAAAGTCAAATCCATTGTCCATTTGTGTTGGGTAAGAAACCTATATCTTCATTTCATGGAATCCATGTTAAAAGAACCCTGTCTTGGTTGCATATTATCACAGCACTCTTGTATTAATCCATTTTTCACAATTCCCCATAGTAGACTGCCATCTTGGTTTCTGAGAGGGAGGGTCCATTTGACTCTTCAAGCTGACTGGGTGCTTTATGAAAAAATTAGAAGAAAAAAAAATGCTGTTGGAATACCAGTGATCTTTCTTATTCCTTCAAACAGAGAACATCCACCCACCTTGAAGATACCCTTACCATGCACAAAGCTTTACATTTGCAGCAGCTTTAGGCTATGAAACTTTGTATTATTTCAAAGTTGTATGCACTGAACTCAAGGTCTGACTTACTTATAACTTCTCAATATTAAGAATCAAGGGAAGACTGTATACAAGTAACAAAGTTCTGTCACAGATACATTTGTATCCATAAAAAAGTGGCAATGAGGAGTCACAATTTTTAATATTTAACACTAACATTGTTATATTGTCTATATGAAAAGTAAAAACAAAAATCAAAGTTCAAAACTCAGAAGCTAAATCACAGCAACAGTGAAAATTCTAAATCTCAGTGCAGAAAATCTCCAAGCTTCTTAAAAGAAAACTAAATATAGAAAAGAATCTTAAAGGATAAAAAAAAGAAGTAGCAGATCATAGCATAGTTTTCCAGTCCAACAGATGTTAATTAATTTTACTTAAATAATGCAAATAGCCTATATAGATACCATCATCTTTAACTGTACATCTGAGAATGCAGGAAATATGCAGCCACCAGGAAAAAAATCATCAAAAATGCCAAGCATCCACCCAGCTTATTCAACATTTGCCATAAAATGCTGTATGTTTTCACATTATATACAACTAAAATAAAACTCTCATTGCAAAATATCAAATGATCTTCACACACAAAAAAATTCTTTACTTAAATAATTTGAACTGAAGAGAGAAGTGGGAAGTTGGGTGATTTTACTGAAATAAATGATCTTGATTCATCAAGATCAAATGTTAATTGCAAGAACAAGTTTTAAACCCTGGTCTTCGCTAGACATTTTGCAGCTCTCCAACCAAATTTATGTAAATACAATCAGGGTGACTGACTTGGAAGCAATTAAATATAAGGGCATTTTTGGTTATTAGGTAATTTCCTTGTCTTCTAGACTATAATTAAGGTATGTTGTCTATTACTCACAATACAAAAATCTACTTAAACTATTTGGTTAACGAAGAGACACTGCCACCCATACAAAAAAAGTTGACTGGAAAGGAGTGTCACATCAGTAACAACCAAAAATAAGGTACTTCTCCTTAGTAAATGCACCTATTTCTCCCCAGCCTTAAAAGACTAATTGAATACCGCGTTCATTCCCCGTATCAGTAAAACATCTCTCATTTGAACTGTTCATTCCTTAAAATTAAGGGCCTTACACTTCTAGATGCATAAAAATAAAAACCCTTCATTCTACTCTCGAACAGCTGACTATAAGACAATTTTTCCCCAATATGTTAAAACACAACTAAAATAAAGCTTTAAAGCTTTAATCTCTAAATGAAGTTAGTCATGAAAATACTATTATGATGAACACCATCACTAAAAATACACTGATATAAAGCTACAAACGTTTCAATAGCTAGAAGTGCCATTTATTCAACTGGTGCATTAAATGATAAACTCAATGCTTTATATCTTCAGTAATGAGACTAGAGGTAAAATTTATCCAGGGCATTTTCTTTTTAAACCTTTGTTTTAAAAAAAATTAAAGAAAATCTAACATTATTTAAATCATTCCAAAATTATTCAATAAAATGCATTGGTTTAAAAAAGTGTGTTTATGTGACAACATAGATTAGAAAATATTATAACAAGTTGGTTATGCGATCATATACATTCATCACAGACTTGAAATGTTTTTTAAAAAGTAATGAAGAATGCCAAAAGAGAAAGATTAAAAAGTCATGATAAATCTGCACTCCTTCAAAGCTAAAGGTGGAAACTTAAAAGGTCAAGTATCAAAGCACCTTAAAATAGAAACGGTAAGGGGTTTACTCAAGTTTATTGTCATGGAATTCCAAAGTCTTATAAAAGCTAAATTCACAAGTAAGTAAAGTTATATTAAAAAACAAAACAAATCAGACGTGTTTTGAGTCTGGAGGTTTTTTTGGTAAATGAAATCCTTACTAGTTTCTCATCTATACAGTGTAAACACTAGTAGTACCTACCTCTTGTGGTTGCACTGAGGACTAAGTGAGTTAGTACATTTACAGTACTCACAACAGTGCCTGGTGTGTAGGAAGACCTCAACAAGTATTAGCTATTATTCCTATATACCAGAGAGGAAAGTAACCAAAGTATTTGAGGACCTAGAAGCTACCCTTACAGAATCAAGATAATTTACATTCCAATAGTAAGGAAATCTCTGAAGAACACATAGGGTCAATTATTTAAAGATACAACACTTTCTGGTTTGAAAACAAATCAGTCTTGCATCAAAATAAAACCAGTATCTAATACCTAACTAACTGGGTAGGGTTTAGATGTCAAAACTCCACTAATGACTTCTGAGTTACTGTAGGCATACTGAAGAGATGATGCTTTGATCTAGGATTCCATCAGCAGACAGATTTACATCATTTATGTATTTCACATATAAGCTTCAAGCTCATAATTTGGAAGGCTAGGAGAATTTTTCCACTGTAATATTCACTAGTTTATACTTCTCTTTTAATGAAAATGGCTTGTTCTAAATTACCAATTCCCAAAGGCAATGATAAAAGCTTGTAGGGAAACATATGATAAGTAACTGCTACCTCTTAACATCACTCCAAACTGTACATCCGCAAGTTAAGAACAAGAAAATTGAGCATGGAGGTCTTTAAATTCTACCTCAGAAAATTTGTTCTAAAACACTGGAACATTATAAAATTGTTAGTTGAAATGCAAGCGATTCATCCTATGGATTGGGTTTAAGAAAGATTCCTCTAAATAAACAAGGTCATTGCCTCTATTTCTCAGCAAGTTTGTCCCATTTTTAATAGCGAAGAAATATGTGGGGAATTGGAGTGAGCAAAGGAAAAAGGAATTATTAATGATTCTTAAATTTTAAAATGAGTGGCTATAACAAAGCTACTATTATATCGATGTAACTTTATATTATTTTAAAACTCACTTATTACAAAACTACAATCTAGAGAATAAATTCATCCTTCCCATCATGCAAGTAAGGCTCTTAGTGCTTATAACTTGATTTCCATCTTCTTTGTATTGGTCTTGAAATTTTAAAACATTTATGGGAGATAGCCCTAAAAAGTAAATCCATGTATTTTGCCTTATTACCAAAAACAGCTTGAATCTTCAATAAAATATGCATTAACAAATCTGGGTCTCCTGAGTAAGATGGTCATAAAAACTAACTACATAATTATTTAAAAACAACTAGCCAGCTGTTAATCACCATAACAAGGTCAATTACAATAACTAAGAAATCATCTTCTTTAAGGTTTTACAAATCAAATCATCCCAATTGTCCTTATCAGTTTAAAATTTAACTACATGTGCATGTTAAGAGATTGAGAGCTTTAGTTTATCAACTTTAATTTTTACTGAATCAAAGTTTTGGCTTTCAGGCATACCTAAAAATTAATATTTAAAACATTAAAACTTGTTTTAATAATCAACTTCACTATATTTTTCAATTAGACCTAACACTAGATTTACATCTAATGCATTTAATAGAAACTACATTTATATAATAAATCAAAAAGTATTCATTGAGCATCCATTATGTGCAAGGCAATTAACTCTTCAAAACAGAATCAATTAGACATGAGGCTAATAATTGTACTATATTAGGAAAAAAGTTCTCACCTCTGTCCTCACCTCCCCCCACTATGAAATAACACAAAAAGAATTTCACTAATTTTGTTGGCCTTATTAGCCATTTATAGATGGAATTAGCCATTTACAGATGGAAGCTGAAGCAGTGGTAAAAAACAAAGAACTACCCTCTAGAATTGAGATTCCCAAATATAATTCAAAAGAATTATTCTCATAAAACAGCTAACATGTAATTCTATAGCATACCTAAGAAGTTCTGTCAACAAGAAATCCTCTTGGAGAATTCATCCAAATTCTTTTATACAGCCTTCCCATCCACTGTTTCCCACAATTTCTCAAGTTGAAAGTTAGAAGAACTAGTCCACAGTAGTGGTAACCAAGTCTTCTAATAACAAAGCCCAGCCCCAATATCAATCAGGCTGAAGGATTTTTTGTTAGGGTTTTTATTTAAGAAAACTTCACAATTAGTTAATTAAAAGAAATAATTAATTACTACATTGAAATTCATGAAAAGTATGTTCAATTTTCAAAAGGGAAGACAAGGGCTTCTGAGTTCTACAAAGGTAGGGAAAAGTTGACAAGAGGAGTGGATATAGGACAAGGGTTGGCAAGCTTTCCTTAAAGGACCAGATAGTAAATATTTAAGTCTTTGTGGCCACTGGGTACAACTCCTCTCAACTCTGCCACTGTAGTGGGAAAGCAGCCACAGACAACATCTAAGGTGAACGGGCATGGCTGTGTTCCAATAAAACTTTATTTACAAAAATAGGAAGTAGTTTGCCAACACCCAGCTAGATCTAGGATCAAATGTTAGAAGCATGTTCAAATGTGGGTTTATTTGCATTTCACCTTTGCCAGAGTATAAAAATAAAGAAAGCAGAAAAGAATAGGTTAAAGTAAATTAATAAGCAAAACTTTAATAGTAAACTTCACAACCAAGCTAATGTTGATTTATCTTCATAGTGTTTGATCTTTACTAAATCCCGCTATATTTTTACAATTTTGACTCAATTACTCAGAACATCAGTCAAATCTGAAACTAAAAAACATATTTAAAATGTAAATTAAACTTACTAAATGCTTCCAACGTCTACTACTTTGTATAGGTCCTTCAGAGAACTCAGTCTCGGGATTCACATTTCTGTAAAGGGCAAAAAGAATATAATTTTATGCATAGAAAAAGACAAAAATAGATTAAATGCCATGATTTACACCAAAATATCTTATACTAACCATTCACTGGTAGACCAAGAGATATATGTATTTATGAACAACAGTCCAAAGAGAAGATCACTGTGTATCACTCCTGAACAATTCACAACTATTTCATCTAGTAGTCTTTCATCTAATCTACTTTCAAGCCTTCTAAAGGAAAACTCCCATTACCTGCCTGCAAGGCATTTTTCCCCCATTCCTTAATTTTACCATATTATTTCACATTATTTGTACTTTTATCAAGTTTTCTAAAATAAGGTACTAGAAAGGAACCTTATACGCTATAGTTATTAATTCTATTGCTCTATTCAACTAAAACAACAAAAATCAGTTCTAATCCTTCCTAAAATACAAACATGTTAAGAAAAACATTATATCCATACTTTTCACTAGTTGGACTTAAATACCCCAATGAACTAAACATAGAAAGTAGTATTTCCTACATCCTACATTTCAATACAGGTATATACTTTCCTTTTACCAGTAATCTCTGCTTCCAAGTATATTATTACAATAATATGTAGATTTACCAAAAAAAGCTTAAAAGTTCAATAAAAATGTAGCAATTGAAGGTTTTTAAAATGCTAATAAGAGCAGAGCTTAAGTTTATAATTTATTAAACTAAAACTAAGCTACCCAAATGCTATTCCTAGACTGGGTTTCAAACTATAGAGCAATTCCCTGATTATCTCACCATATCTAAATGTCTTTAGTCATTTTGATGAATCATAATCAAGAAATGGCAAAGATGTGCTTCAAAATTACCTGTAAGGATATAATAAGGTGCTAAAATATCCTCCCAGCAAGTTAACAAATCAAACAATTTTAAAAGAAACATAGCATTATTTATTTTTACACTTCCAAATTTAATCCGAGCTTATGAGAGAATTTTGTGAACAAGGACAAATCTTAAATCAACCAAGCAATATAAATGCATTTAACTACTAAGAGCAGAAAAGTGTGGAATTAACCCGTGAAATTTTCATGAAGAAAATGTCTAAGGGAAATCTCTCACACTGATCTAACAATATGGCACTTATTAATAATACGGTGCAATCAGTTCAAATCCACCTAGAGGCGCCTGGGAAGAAAGGCCTGGAGATCTGCTTTTGAAAGACCTCTATGGGGTGCAGTTCTCCACTGACATGACATACATGAAGTCATCACAAATCAGAATCCACTTGACGGTAACTAGTTTGGTTTTTGGTAGCAGTAGTTATGTATGTGCCTCTGGGTTCTGACTCCATCAGAAACAGGAAAAGGACTTGAATCTCACTTCGCACCACCACAAAAATTACTGACTCCAATATCATCTGTCATTTCATAGCATCTCCTTCCCAAAAGGTGACAAAGTTTAAAATAGTACTTTGGCTTCACTGCAAGGTGGGTGTAGGAAGGGGATTGATTTTCAGCTTAAACTGTTGACAAAAACGGGTATTTTGCTCATATTCCTACCTATACTAATCTTTTGCAGAAGTATCTGTTTTCTGACTTATTTAACATTAAATTGTACGTATAATACTAACAACCATTTTTGTTGCTGGTCCATTTATAATAAAAAGCAAGGAGCACTTTAATCAATTCTTGTATCATCATTATTAGCCTATTTGTGCTTTTAAGAGTACTTGGTTTTGTCACCTTTTAAAATCCTTAAAACAATACTTTTATTAAAAATAAAATCTGAGAGTACTATGAAATATAAATCTACAAAAATAAGGTCTTGAAAAAGTCATTAACATTAACAAGAAACCTTGGCTACATTCCTAAGACAAACCATTAAAATTATACGAAATATAACTAGCTTGACATTCTAAAATAATTACTATTTCATAAATATTAAAAGATGTAATTGTTTCTTTGAGAAATACTCAATCTCAAACAAATGGCTTAGTTTCAAAAGGAAAAAGGAATGTTTTCCAAAACACAGACCTACTGAGCTTTACACAATGTGTAAACCAAAACTTTATCAAATTATTGTAGAAAACATACCACTTGAATGTTATCTATGCAACTAAATCATATACGTATCCTTTTTATTTGTAATAAGAGGTTCAAATTGTATTGGAATTTAAATTGTAAAAGTTACTTCATTCAAAAATCATATCAAACTGGAAAATTAAAATAAAAGTTTGCACTGAACCACTCAATCTGGAAGGGGAAGGTAGTTGATAAAATGAGGGTATTTATCTTTGAATTTGTAGAAACTTCTTAAAAGAAATTGAATAGATTATATTAGGCATGCAAAATATAAATCCGCTCATTTATAATCCTAATGGTCAACTACAAATGTTAGATAAATATACTTTAAACTTTAAATATATTTAATAGCTATTACAAAAAATGTAAATAATGCTTTTATTGCAGCTTCTATATCAATTTTTCTTTAAAAACTATTTCATACTTTAACTGCCTCATTAAGGTAAATTTTCTAACATCTGAATTTATATTATTTATTACAATTTTGGAATGTCTAAGAATCAGTAAGAAAGTCAGATATAATACCTTGACCTGTATTGTATTACTTCAAGTTTCACCACAGAAACATACCTGATTTGCAATGCAAAAATTATAAAGACTACACTCCAATTCATATAAAAGAATTAGGCACCCCTTATAATTTTTTTTTCACCCAATTTAAGAGCTGAAAGGGATGTAAGAGATTGGAAATTCCAAATTCCTTATACAAATTAGGAGACTAAAGTCTAGAGAATAAAATGTCAAGATTACAGATAGGGCTAATTTAAATTAGAACCTGGGTCTCCTGATTGCTGAATCAGTTATACTTTCCATTATATCACACGTCTCTCATTAAGGGAGAAGATGGAGATATCCTCAATTTTTCCCCTTAAGCCTCTCCATGAATGAGGAGAAAAAGTACATTAATCGGTTGTTCATAGCCCAAATTTCTAAATAATCAAGAAACAATTCTGCACAAAATAAACTAAACTTGAAAGAAGATTTACATTCAAAATTACTTATTTCAAATACTCTACATCATGTCATAGTTATTTAAACATTTTCATTAACTATGGGCATAGTTTCTTTCATTTCTTTGGCACTTCAAGCAATTTTTTTTTAAACATGTAGTTACTACCAGAATGACAAATGCAATCTAATCACCAACTCAATCAGGTGATTTTCACAATTCAAGAAATAGTTCAAAATTTAAAATATTTAAGTATTTGTGACTTTGGTTCCTAAGCATAAAAAAGTGAGGTAAACTAATAATTTACCTTTCTCATGAAATAGTCATTTCAGGTAACATAATAATATGTACATTTACATTTGTCCTCATTAGCCAATCAACTTTGTCCATTAGAACTTTTGTTCATTATACAAGGTTGGCTCAAGCACTATTTTAAATATCAAGTATCAGGAATGCTGAATTCTATTAGACTGGGGATTAATTTAGAAGTTACTATGTATCATTTAGGAGATTTTTATTAAAATTACTTCTAGGGTAAAAAAAAAAAAAAGAAAAATCTTCATATAACATTTCTAACCTTCTTTAGCCTTTTATCTTTCCTTTTTGATGGATCAAATTATACCTTTGGTAGGACACTAAAAATTCATTGCCAAGGTATACTTACACTTACGTTACGCTCCACATAGGTTTCTGTTTTGAGAGACTCAAATCTCAATTTTTATGACAGTGCCCAACCACACCTGAATGCTAATCTGATGTGCTACCATTTGTATACCCAAACCCGTTGCCAATGAGTCAATTTTGACTCACAGCAACCCTCCATGACACAGCAGCACTGCCCCATAGGGTTTTATACAGGAAACCCTAATCTTAGCATTTGTGTTAAAGCATGGGATGATGAATGTTCTGACTTTGCATATGTTTTAAGTACTATACATAGCTGAAAAGCCTAACATTTAATTTTTTTTTGCATGCTAAAACATAATTTGACCAACTGTAAAACGGTTAAAGAGAAAAAAATAAGCCAAACCAAGGCAATAAAAATATTTCCTTTTTCAAAGACCAGACTTAATGGTCTGAGACTGGAGGTACCCCGGAAGACATGGTCCCCGGACTATTAGCCCAGAACTGAAACCATTCCTGAAGCCAACTCTTCAGACATAGATTAGACTGGACTATAAGACATAAAATGATACTCATGAGGAGAGTGCTTCTTAGCTCAAGCAGACACATGAGACTAAACGGGCAGCTCCTCTCAGGAGGCGAGATGAGAAGGCAAAAAGGGACTGGAACTGGCTAAATGGACACAGAAAATCTGGGGTGAAAAGGAGGAGTGTGGTGTCACATTATAGGGAGAGCCAACTAGGGCCACATAGCTACGTGTATATAAATTTTTGTATGAGAAACTAACTTCAACTATAAACTTTCACTTAAAGCACAATTAAAAAAAAAAAAAACATATATTCCCTTTTCCACCTATTTCAATCAATGGAATAAGCCAACATGAATTAATAAAGATTTTTACTTTAGTTTCCACATAAATTTCAAGGATAAAGGTAAGCCTGCCCTCATCTTAATTGGTTGTTCGGCTATTGTTAAAATTTCCCAATATACTCCTTACTATATTACATATTTCCTCTGCCCAAAATCACTTAGCAAAAACAGCTTGACATAAATTTCTAGATTCAGTGTTAAGAATAAAGACTATTTCTTTAAAAACACCTGTGAACATATTTTCTTATTAACGTTATCTAGCTTTAAGATGTCAAAGAATTGTATACTAGGCATATTGGGCACAATTCCTATTTCCCATTTATGCTTTACAATTACTAAGCTATAGTCTTTTTAGACACATTATTCTAGTTTCCAGAAAAATAGCTCATTTTTGTACCTGTTTAAAAACAAACTCATGAAAACCAGTAAAATGAATATTCTGAATCTATCAAATTACTAAGATATGAACGTGTTTTGAGATCTTGAAATACACGTCTCTGAAGTTTAAGGTCAGCTAATGGAAAACTTGTAGGCCAGTTTTCTGTACCATCCAAAAAAAAAAAAAAAGGCTAAAAAAGTATATTTCAGATTGTAAAGACATAATTCTGACATCTACTACAGATCTAACCATAATCCTGAAGCACTATTTTATGAGTAAGTATGGAATGCCTATCTGTTCCGATAAAAATGGCATACACTGACTGTTTTAATACAAAAGTGTTTTGACGTAAGGTAGAAGATTCTGATGGGCTTTTCCTCATTTTTAGAACTAAAGAGTCTACAGTTTACGTTTCTTTGGTAAACTTTAGTGATATTTTCCTATACAAATGTTGGTTAAAAATATTTACTTACCTGCTGAATAAAATATACACTTTTCCAAAAACTTCCTTTTCCTCAAAGATACAACTCCATCTGTTTTCAAAATGGCATACCTATTGGAAAAAAAATTACTCTCAACATTTACTGATGAGGCAATCAATAACAAGTAGATGTGTTTTAAAACTTTATTACATAAATGAAAAAAAACTAAACTCTTAAAATATTTCTTCTCTAAAATCTATTAGTACGAATAGCAATTAGCTCAAAATTTCCAATAAATATTTGAAAGATTAAAATAGTCTGTATGGTGTATCATAGAGCTAAAACAAACCGTACCTTTGGTTCATGATTTTCCTCAAAATATAATCGGTCTTTTTTATTTCCAAAATTAAACAAAAGCTTAAAGGACCTTCAGTATTTTAAACTATTCAAAGGGTACATTAAATTACAATGGCTATGTACCTATACGTTTGTTCATTCAATGAAAATGTTTAAAGACTGCAAAATTACTTCAGGTATTTACTCATACTATTCTATAAAAATCATACATAAATGTTCATTGGCTGGGAAAAAATTATCAAAGAACAAAATTAAAAGCTGGTAAGCTTATTTTTATGTCAAAGTAATAAAAATTTACCCAATCTTACCTCAAAAGAGCCGTATTTGTTCAGAACCATCCACAACCAAATTAATTTCAATCCTGTAAGTTACCTTTAAAAAAAAGAAAAGATGGTTATCAATATTGTGATTTTTAAGTTATGTCTTGGCCAAAGTTTCAGTGTGATTAAACAATGATATTCCAAACACAAGATCTATGGACAAATTTTTAAGAGGAGGCTAATCAACACTCTACCTGTATATTTAAGGCTGCAGTTATTTCTCAATATCAGTCTTTGTTGCCCTCATCTTTTGGTTGCACACACAAACACTAGGGATTAAAGCACTGAGATAAAGAATTATAGTAAATTCAAATCTCTGGAGAGATTTAAGATTATGACCTTGTTTTTATTTTCTTTCCTCATTTGATGCTAGGCAATACATAAAAACAAAGGGATAATTTAACCATTTTTAAAGACTGGAATAATCTCAAAATTTCCTTTAGCATCTAGAAATACCTTTTACAATTAGGAGCAATCAAAAATTAACTCCTCCAAGTGAAAACAGTGAAGTTAAAATGGCCACTGGTTACTTTAAATTTTAAAACACAAGTTATTTGATCTTACTAAGTGGGATATTAGCTTTGTCTTTAAAGCAAGCCTAAAACTTGTAGTATCTAAGACCTTTATTCAATTTAAAACCAGGGTCTGGCACATCTTCAGTCTCTCCCCTCCCCCCACTTATCATGTAAAAAGATCTTTTGAGGTTAAACTGCTAGCAATTATTATGCATTTCACTCTTTAAAAAGAACGCAGAAAAACTAGATTTAAAATATCCATTTAAAACCACTTCCAGTGTTCGAATTTTCAAAAATGTTGGCTTGAAAAACCAAAATTGACAAACAACAAAATCTAAAAAATCAAGATATGCGCAACTGATGTAACATGTAGTACTATATGAAAGCTATTCAAAAAATAAAACGATTTTACTATTAAAAAATACCCTCAGAAACATGGTCGAATAAACCAGTATCTTTGGTTTTAGAATACTACGTAAGCATGCTCAATACTATTTTTACGTAGATCTGCACCTTTACAACATAAGAGCTACCACAAAATGAAGACAAATATATTCTAAAATACACAATGGTTTGTGGATTTCTGGTTTTTTCTTCATTGGACTTAAATTCTTCCTCAATTTTTTGAATCCGTAGACTATAAATACACAACACGGCCTATTTTTTGAAACCGATATATATTTTTAAAATATTGCTCCGTTTTAAGCACATCTATCTAAATTTTTACACATGCAACAAATGCAACAAATATGGCTCCTCTTCATCGCCCATTACCGAGAGCAGTTCTACTTTAATATTTACACTACAAGAAAGTAACTTCACAAAGAGATTTGATGTTAGAATTATTTCTTTGTAAAAGTTTTGACGTTTACGGCTTCTGATAATATACAATATTTTAAAATAAAACAAAATGATCAACTTAAACTTTTAAAAGTCTAGAAACTGACCCAAGTATGTTCAAACATCTAGGTGAGAAGTTACAGATAACGGCTCCTTATGATCTTAAAAAAAAAAAAAAAAAGTGCCAAACAGTATAGTCAATCATTATTCAAAAAACAGAATGGCAAATTATCTCGGCGTCAATTACTCGGTGAGATAAACTATCTTAATCAAACGTCATCGTCTAGCTCCGTAATTATCAAATCTATTTCCATTAAATAGCCTTGACGATACAGTAAACTTGTTTTCGTAATTTTTGAAATACCACAAGCACTCTTCCAACTTGCATGTTTAAAAGGTAACCTTAACGTCACAAAGGTTTAATAAACACAAGTACCTTCATATCTGTAACACTGCAACCCGTCAAAATTGGCTTTGAAAGAGTTAAAAGCCAACACCCAAAAGGGAAAAAAAAAACAAGATTTATTTTTGTTTAAACGTAGTCAGGGTTCCATTGTTCTTTTAAATTCGACCATAAAGATAAGTTCCCACCTCACCGGAAAGAGAGTAAAAAGCTCCCCCGCTGGAGAACCTAAAAGCGATTTTTTTCCCCCTAAATATCAAAATAACTCACCAGGACAGAAAGGGGCTCTCCTCGCGCAGTCCCCTGCGGTCTCCCGCCTGCGGTCACCCGCTGCCGCCCCCTTCCCCGCGGGTCCTGGTCCTGGCACCGAGGCCGCCCACCGCCCACCCCGACTGCGGGGGTCTGCAACAAGGCCCCGCGCGCCCCCCGCCCCCAGGTCCCGCGACCCCAGCCAGCGGGGCCGAGGAGCATCCCGCCCGGCAAAGCCGGCGCGCGAGGACCGGCCCGCCGCCCCCTCCTGCTCGCGCGCTCAAGGACATTTTGTTTTTCTTCCCAAGGACAAAGGACAATAAAAGGCGCTGAGGAGCCACTCACCAGTTCCGAGCGCGGCCGATAGCACCTCCTGGCCACCTGCAGCCGAGGTACGGGCCGGGCCGCCCGCCCGAGCCTTCTGCCCGCGCCGGGCCGAGACGACGAGGCCCCGGGGAGCCTCCGCGGCCGCTGCCGCAGCGAGACTTTCGGCATCGCTGGCCCGGCCGCCTCGGGAACCCCTACCGCGGGATCTGCCGCCGACGTGCGGCCCGTCTCGCCTCAGCCGCGGCCGCCCCGCTCCCGAGGGCCTTCTAGCGGCCCTGGTGCAGCTTCCCGCCGGTCAGCGGACCCGACGGCCGCGGCGGAGAGCCTGACAGCTCGGGGTGCTGCTGCCTCTCCGGCCATCTTGTGCCGTGTGTGTGGTGTCTCTCTCCCGTCTCCTCTCTCGGCTTTACTCCCTCCTCCTCCTTCCCCCGCCCCACACACCACACAACATGGCCTCTCCGCTGCAGCGGTGGCTGCGGCGGCGGCAGGAGCTCCGCCGCGCTCCAGCCCGGTCCCCTCCCCCACCTTCCCCACCTCCCGCCCGCATCCACGTGCCCCAAAGCGCACGCGCGCCACCGCCCGCCTGCCGCGGCTATTGGTTCAACGAGCTTCCTCCCATATCCTCCCGAAAGCGGCCTCACGCACTCTCTCTTGGCGTCCTCCTCCCGCCCGACAACAGCTAGTTCGACTGTATTGGCTAATTCTGACCCCGCCTCTACACCGCCTCCAAGACTATAGGCTGTCCTTAATGTCATTCACCACTCGTGGGTGTTTCTGGTTTTCTGGCCGGGTCCGGCCCGCGATTGGCGGGTGATGGAGCGATTGCGTTTGGAGCTGAGGTGTTGCTCTGCGCCCCGCAGTGCGGACCCCTTTGGACGGGCTGGAAGGGCCGCAACTTTGGCTAGGCCAGGCCGGAATTAGTATAGTGCCCAAGAAGTTAGGGCTTCGCCTTTGGAAAAAGCTCAGGATTCGGTGTTTTCTGAGTTCAGTTTTTTGTCTTTGGGGAAAAAAAAAAGGGAAATTGACTGACAGGATGATGGGCAAGCAAGATGCAGGTCTATACCGGTCGGACAAGCAGCCATATCTCATCTGTCATACCCCTCAAAATTTTTTTCTTAAAAAACCAGGCCTTAACTTCACGGTTATAGAGTCAGGGCCAGTGGTTTCTTTGGGGAAAAAAAAAGGGAAATTGACTGACAGGATGATGGGCAAGCAAGATGCAGGTCTATACCGGTCGGACAAGCAGCCGTATCTCCTCATCTGTCATAACCCCTCAAAATTTTTCTTCTTAAAAAACCAGGCCTTAACTTCACGGTTACAGAGTCAGGGCCAGTGGTCTCGCTACCAGCGCATCCCCCTAGCCCAGTATCCGAATTTAAATACCATTTATTTGAGGGTTTGTAAGTTACTCATTGTCCATTTATGTGAGACAGACTGTTTCTCCAGTGTTCAGTGTCCTGGGGCCTTAAATGAATCAGTATTTCAGAATCCTGGTTAGCCTGGATTCCACTCTCTTTCTTAGGGCAGTGTTTGTTAAAATCGTAGTTTGAACCTGAACAATCAGTGTCTACCTGAGAATCAGGCAGAACAAGCCTCATCTCATTTAAGCAAATCTCACTTTTTTTCATTATCTCGTCCTACTTCCATTTGGAAGTAACTCTAGGCAGACCATAAGAATAAATGAAACCTGAACCTAACCTGGAATCCCTGGTGGTGTAGTGGCCAAGTGCTATGGTTACTAACCAAAAAGTTGGCAGTTCAAATTCACCAGATGCTCCTTGGAAACTCTATGAGGCAGTTCTACCCTGTCCTATAGGGTCACTGTGAGTCGGAATCAGCTTGATGGCAGTGGGCTTTTTTGGTTTTTTTTTTTTTTCAACTTTACTGAAGTGGATGGAAAAAGCAAAAAAGGAAGTTCTTTCCCACTGCCAGCATTTTAGAAATCCTTCCTCTTGGCAAGGGACTGATGTGGGGCTAGAGGGAGGGAAAGGAGCACCAGATGTTCTTAGTTTTGGGAGGCTTTTTTTGCTCATGCACAAGTTTTTATTTGAACACCTCTTTTCAATTCTCTGGGGATATACCTGGGAGTGGAATTGCTGGATTATATGGTAATGCTATGTTTAACTTTTTTTTTTTTTTAATTGTGCTTTAGGTGAAAGTTTACAGAGCAAATCAGTTTCTCACTAAACAATTAATACAGATAGTGTTTTGTGACATTAGTTGCCAACCCTGTGATGTGTCAACATTCTCCCCTTCTTGGCCTCAGGTTCCCCATTTCCATTCATCCAGCTTTCCTCTCCCCTCCTGCCTTCTCATCCTTGCCCTGGGGGCTGATGTGCCCATTTAGTCTCATATACATGGTGGATCTACGTGTGTTATTGTTTGTTTTATAGGCCTGTCTAATCTTTGGTTGAAGGGTGAACTTCAGGAATGACTTCGGTACTGAGTTAAAAAGGTGTCCAGGGCCATACTCTGGGGGTTTCTCCAGTCTGTGTCAGACCAGTAAGTCTGGTATTTTTTTGTGAGTTAGAATTTTGTTCTGTATTTTTCTCTTGCTCTGTCTGGGACCCTCTATTGTAATCTCTCTCAGAGCAGTCGGTGGTGGTAGCCAGGCATTATCTAGTTGTGCTGGACTCAGTCTGGTGCAGGCTGTAGTAGTTGTGGTCCATTAGTCCTTCGGACTAATCTTTCCCGTGTGTCTTTGGTTTTCTGCGTTTTCCTTTGCTCCAAAGATGTTCTTAGTTTTAACTGATTTTTTTGTTTGTTTTAATAAGGTAAGGGGTTTGAGAGTGAGGTAAGCAACTCTTAAGGTCTCTTGAGACCCTGTACCTGGGATAAATCAGATATTAAATATATGTGGGGCCTAGGAACTAGTCCAGAGTCCCTGGCTGGTGCAAAGGTTTAATGTATTTGCTGCTAACCAAAAGTTGGAGGTTTGAGTCTCCCTAGAGGCGCTTTGGAGCCCTGGTGGCGCAGTGGTTAAGAGCTCAGCTGCTAACCGAAATGTCAGCAGTTTGAATCTACCAGCCGCTCCTTGGCAACCCTGTGAAGCAGTTCTACTCTGTTTAGAGGCACCTTGGAAGAAAGGCCTGTTGATCTACTTCGGAAAAATCAGCCATTGAAAATCCTATGGAGCACAGTTCTACTCTGACACATACAGGGTTGCCATGAGTTGGAATCAACTCCATAGCAACTGGTGGTTAGTTGGTTGGTTGGAGGAACTAGTTCTGGCTGCGTCTTTTAAAAATGACACAGTTGTTAATTGACTTGGCTCAATATAGAATTAGCTACTTACTTAGGGCAGAGCTAGAACTAGAACCTTAAGTCTCTTGACTTTTTATAGTTCCTTTTGGGCTCCTTCCTTGGGTTCCTGTTATGCAACCTGGCCACCTTTCTTGCCAATATAATTTGAGCTCCAAGTGGGCCACAGAAAGAATGCTTCTTTAACAGAAATTGAATGTTCACCATTTAATTTCCAAGAGACCTTCCCCCACACAGTCTAGCCTTGTACAATGTGGATATGCAACAAGACTGTGTTCTCTGAAATAACCCCACCCAGAAGCCTTTCCTCATTCTTCCTGGTATGTTCTTGCTGCGCTATTATTGTTCATTCCCTTTTCCCTTTCCTCTCCTACCACTACCTGAAATTCATCTATGATTCTGCTTTTCCAGATTCATCACCAAGTACTTCTGTGGCAGCAAAACAGGCCTGAACAGGCCTTTATTAAAAGTAAAGTAACGGTTGGCTCAGACTTTAGAGGCATTTACAGACATTGTTCTAAATCCACAATGTGGATTAACTCAATTCATCACATAACACCCCAAGAGCAACTATTCTTATCCCTGTGTTGCAAATTAGGAAACTAAGGAACAAGGAGTTAAGTAACTTGCTGGAATTCACGCTGCTGCGAAGTATTGGAGCCAGAAATAAGTCCAGGAACAGAGCCCTGGTGGCTCAGTGGTTAAGCATTCAGCTGCTAACCAAAAGGTCGGCAGTTCCAATCCACCAGCCATTCCTTGGAAACCCTATAGGGCAGTTCTACCCTGTCCTATACGGTCACTCTGAGTTGGAATTGACTTGATGGCAATGGGTTTGGTTTGGTTTTTTGCAATCTGGATCTAGGGCCTATCTATGATTGTGCGGTCTCTCCCAGTTTCTTTATGAAGCCTGCCCCCTTCCTCAATAGGTTCAATTAGATCTTACGCTGTGTGGAGGCACCTGATTCGTCAACTCCTCCCTCCCTCACTTCATTCAAATGTTCCACCATCAGAATCAGGCCTCCCTCCAATTAGGAAATGTCTAACTCAATTCCCAGACCTGGGCCCTACTCAACCCCTTTGCTATCAATCTCCTGGCACACCACCCATAGGGTTTCCTAGGTTGTAAATCTTTATGGGAACAGATCGATAGGTCTTCTCTCCCATAAAGCCACTGGTGGGTTCGAACTTCCGACCCTTCGGTTAACAGCCAAGCACTTGACCATTGTACCACCAGGGCTCCTCTCTCTTTGATTGTACCCATTGCCATTGAGTCTATTCTCACTCATAGCGACCCTACAGGACAGAGTAGAACTGCCCATAGGGTTTCCAAGGCTGTAACCTTTACGGAAGCAGACTGCCACATTTTTCTCCCGTGGAGCAGCTAAGGGGTTCCAATTGCCAACCTTTAGGTTGGCAGCCAACCTCTTAACCACTGCACCACCTGGGCTCCTTCAATCGTATGGAGCGAATCCCTTTTATGAAGACATACCTTGAGCAGCTTATATATAATAGTTCTTTTCTCCCAAGTTTACATCAAACACAACCTGGTCTTCAGAGAAAGCCCTGTCTGCCACATTGAAACTTTGTTCCCTATCACAAATGACAGGCATGATTTACTTTATCATATCTATAGCATGTTTTTGGTTAAGAACTCGGCTGCTAACCCAAGCTTGGCAGTTTGAATCTACCAGCCACTCCTTGGAAACCCAATGGGGCAGTTTTACTCTGTCCTATAGGGTTGCTGTGAGTCTGAATCAGCACAACGGAAACGGACTTGTTTTTTTTTTTTTGGTATGGCATGTTTTTAGTCATCCCTCCTTAAAGCTAGACTAGCTCTTGGTCCTAAATTAATAGCATCTGACACCTGGTGGACCACATCCTACCCCTAGCACAGTTCTTTTTCATGCTAAGTGATCTGCCAATTGAACCAAGAGGCAATCCCTCCCTCTCCTTAGTCAAGATTGACTCCTATTTCTGCTGTTTTGTTCGCAGAAGAGAATCAAGAGCCAAGTCCTTAGCTTTGGCTCACTTAGAGGAAAGGCCTCTGCGTGCTCTACGTAGTTCTGTTCCTATTTAATTGTGTCCAGAAGAAAACCTGGGTGGGCAGAGAATATTTTT